ATGCATCACTCATCTCTCTGCTGTTTGTGGGCACAAATGGGAAAGTGGCTTCTTCCTTGGAAGTCTGGCCTCCTTTAAAACTCATTTGCCTTGCTGATGGTGCCCTACTAAATGTCAGGGTCTGTAACAGCAGGGAATGTTAATATATGTGTGTCCTGGAACTGGCAGTGCTGGATATTGGCACGTGACCTGGCAAAATGGGGAGATAATTTAAATTGGATGTTATGTGGGTATATAAATCCTATAAGAAAATTGTTGCATGTGTCAGTAATCGATTTTGACAGACTTGTTGGCTGGGTTGGTGCCAAATTTCTGTCTCTTTTCTCCATGTCTTCTCACCTAAAAACCACCATAATGTGACATTTCTACTTCTATGCTTATCGTTTCCGCACTGGTTTCAACCTGCAATTGTTATTATTATTTAAATATCCAAGATGGAAAGTGTGCTAAAACCCAAAGCTACCATCATCTTGGGACTGAAAAAATACCATATCCAGTGCAGTTACCTCACCACACTATTTACCCAGCAAAGAGCAAGTCTTAGATGGAGCTGACATTGAAAATTCTGGTTTCTTTACCCCTGCTTTTCTTCGGCAGGGACAGATCCATTGAGGCTGAGAATAGATTTTTCAGTCACTAGATACATCAGACTTGTCTCTAAAACTAGCACATTCAGTTTTATCACAGTCTTTGTCCTAATCACTGAACAATTACTGTTCCTTAAGTGATTTACCTTGAGTCTGAGAGTTTCTGTGCCTGCTTTTTTTATGCTCCCGTTTTTCCAAGGCAGGAAAAAAGAAACTTGAGACAACTTCAGTGGTTTAAACCCCCCCAAAACTTAAACAGAACCCTACTTCCATGTCTGCTGTTCCTCTAGGAACTTAAAAATAAAGGCCCTGATGGCCTGTCTTGCATTTTTCATTCTGGTTTTGCCCAGTGCATGCCATGAAAGCTTTGAGTGTCGAGTTATTAATCCTTTTGGCCCAGCAAGGCAGCAAAGCTGTTATTAATATGGATGAGGCACTTAGTGCTGAGGAAATGGGATAAAAGGATTTGTAGGGAATATTTCTCTATAATAGAGTGACTATCAGACATCAGCCAGGTGTCAGCTGTGAGCTGAAAATACCTGTGGCTTAAGGAGAGAAGACAAGAGGGGAAAAAAAAAAAAGACAGGTGCAGTCATGACTGAGGGGGTTCTAAAAACTGATGTTTGGGGTTTTTTTTTTTGGGGGGGGGATGCATTTAAAATAGGTTTCTTGAGAGCTCTGTTTTGAGTGTGTAACTCTTGAGTGATTGCATTCAGCTTTTTCAACAATGTACTTCTCTTGATAGCAACGCAGGCAGCAAAGGATAACTCAGAGAGCACATGCTGTAAATAATGGAGAGTTTCAGAGGTAAGAGATCACATTTTGTTCATGATAACTGAGAACCTTGACTGTTTCTACTCCTGCCCTTCATCTGCAAAGTTAAGAGGGGAGTTTGCATCCATTCTGGTTTTCACTGGGGTTATTTAAAACTGAACCTGCTCCCAGCTACTGATACATATATGCCCACAAAATCTAGTACTTTGTATTAAAAAGGTGTTTATATGTGAAGTCTCAGCTAATATAAAAATCTTTTATTATTCAGAACCCTGCTGGAAATACCCAGTAGAGATACACTAATTGAATGGTTTATGCAGTCTGCCTGTTTCTTCGTTAATATTATTAATTCTCTTCACTGCCACCTTCTGTGTTCGATGTTGGGGGGGGAAAAAAACCAACCAACCAACCAACAAAAAAAACCTCAGAAAAATTTCCTGTGGGATGGTGCTCGAGTTTAGACAAAAAATGTTAAAATCCAACACCTGTTTTTACATGGAAGAGAAGGGGGCTAGAAAGGGTTTTCAGTTAGGGAAGTGCTGTTAGAAAAGGAGCTGGGAAAACTGAGGTTTTATGGTGTGAGTAGGAACTAGCCAGATTTTAAAAACGAAGGACTGGAGGAGCAGGATTCGGATTAATTAGTTAAAAAATGAATTGAAAATTAGGGAGATTTTACCTACAGTGATGAAGAGAGGGGAAGAGTTTTTGAGATGAAAGTTAATTCATTTTTAGCTGAAAATACTACCAAAAATTGAGCAGAAGCACAGACTGGGAGTGGATGTGATGAATAAGAACAGAAAAGCATTTTCTAGATCCTTTTATGAAGAATTTAGTTCAAGGTGTATGTGCTTTGTAGCACAGAGCTGGGGGGCACGTGGATTGACATTTTTTAGGGCATCCTTAGAGGTTCAGAAAGCTAAAGAACTGTGCATTGTTCTTCCAGCTCTGTGGCAGAGGAGGATCTCGATCCTTTCTTAAGGAACACAAAATTCCAGTACGAAGCTTTTCGAAGCAGCAGTAAGTCTTCCCTTCCTTATGCCTGCCTTAAAATACTCTGAGGAGCACAGAGTGCTGTTTCTTTTTCTAGATAAACATAATTTATTTTTTTATATATATAAATTGTGTATGCACAGATCTGTATTAAACAATCTGACAGGTCTTTTTATCTGAGGGATAGAAAATAGAGGTGAACTTTCCCTGTCAAACCTGTGTATTATTAAAGATGCAGATGTGTGTTTGCAGCTTTTTTTTTTAAACCATCTCTTAGCAAAGCAGTTAGAATCATAATAATGGTTAGTTTTTTTTCCTAATGCAGCACAAGAGGGAATTTGGTTGCCTGTATTCAAAAATTCCACTAACAGTTTAGAGGAAAGCGATTTTATAAACTTTTATCCCCAAACTGTGATGACAGTACAACGATCACTAAGAAATTGGAGGAGTGATGGCAATTCTTGAGGAAATATTGCCAGTAGTTTGTTCTTCTGGGGGGAGAGGGTTGATTTTTGGGGCTTTTTTTTTACAGGTCTTCATACAAGTCCAGCTGACAGCTTATTAAATTCCTCTCTGGTTCTAATTAGATAATCTCCTAGTGAAGATGACTATTAAAAATCTACTGATGATGCTTTGAAGTGAAGTGCCTTTTCCAGCGTTCCTGAGGTTTAAAGGGCCGCAAAGCACAATAAAAAGCTTAATTTAATGGTTTGCTTTTGCATATTGAGCCTCGAATTCAAGTCTGGTTATGGATTAAAAAGAACATTTTACTTTGTTTTCCGTAGGGCTCTCCTCTGATGCCACAGTGCTGACACCCAACACAGAGAGCAGCTGTGACTTAATGACCAAAACCAAGTCAGTGAGTGGGAACGACGACAGCACCTCCTTAGATTTAGAGTGGGAAGATGAAGAAGGTATTTATGACTTCAGGTTCATTCTGAATGTATAAGTTACAAACCTTGACAGTTTACAAACTGTGTCGATCGTAAATCTGTGGTTTTTCCAAGGGGAGGGTGATTTAAAACTTAATGCAATTTCTGGCCCAGTCTGGAATTGTTAAACTGTGAATTATTTTTACCGAGAGAATTCCTTATTTTGATAAATGTGGACGTGGCCCCAGTAAATAAATGAATTTATCTGGGTCCTTTAGTATCCCAACAAAACAAATGGCAGAGAAATGCTGCCCTCTGGCGAGCCAGGAGCAGGAGGAACAATTTATTCTTTTAAAATGTGGAAGTTGGTCAGGAGTCTTGGCTGAACTATTTTGGGAAAAACCCTAGTTACTTTTACTGTAACTTTTACTGGGAACTCAGATCTATGTTCCAGTGAATATCCCAGCTGTCCTCACTGCTGCTGCTGTGTGTTACAGGTGCTTTCTGTTTTATTTAGTAAACCTGCAAAAGCTCTTGTCATATTCCCAAGTTTATCCAAAATGTTGAGACCTTGACTCCTGAAAAGCTCACCAAAAATCAGGATTTCTTTGAGCCAATGCATAGCTGATTTTTTTTTTTTCTTGCTTTAATACACTGTTTCTGACAATCTTTGTGTAGGTTAAATGTTTAGCACTGTATCTTATACTATTATTTAGCTGCTTGGAGAGACCCATGGAACATGAACATAAAATCTGTAATTGGAGTCTGATGAAGGGAAAAATTTATCTCTTTTTTTTTTCCTGTGGCCCCCCCCCCCAAAGTTGTGGGTTTCAGTTGCAATATGTAACTTTTTAATAATAATTAGTTACTCCAGATTTAAAAGGGGAGTTTATTTAGGAACGTACAAGGATTGCAGTGAACAAGGGGAGGATTTAGGGTGGTTTTTAACAGAATCTTGGATGTCTTTGGGCACTACTGAGAGCAACATTTTGCCTTATTTTGTGTGAAATTAAATACACACACATCTGAAATAAGCTCCAGACTAACTGAAGACCTTTCCTAGACCCATGAAGCCAAATTTTAGCTGGGCTGCTTTTTCTAGCAGGAACATAAAGGTAATTCCCTCAAAAACGGTGTTTCACGCAAACGTGCCTTAAATCCCAGGGATGAACCGGATGATCCCGATGCGGGAACGCTCCAAGACGGAGGAAGACATCCTCAGGGCAGCCCTGAAATTCAACAGCAGGAAGACAGGGAGCCACCCAGCCTCGGCCTCCGACGATTCCAACGGCTTGGAGTGGGAGAATGACTTTGTCAGCGCCGAGATGGACGACAACGGCAACTCCGAGTACGCCGGCTTCGTCAATCCCGTCCTGGAACTGTCGGCGTCGGACGCGAGGCTCTCGGAGTCCGACCACCAGGACAGATAGTGACACTGCACCTCTGCCGTGTCCAAATGTGACCAGATGTCACATCTGTGACCAAATGTTGGAAAGGGAAAGAGAATGTACAAAGCCACTTTGCTCTTTTGTAACCCGCTTCCCTTTTTCTTATACATGGATCAGCAAGGAACGGGAATGACTTGCTACCTGAATGAGTTCAGAATTAAGTGCAATTTTATCACCTACCTTCTCGACTTTTGTGAAAACTGGGATGGTTCTGTTGTGTATATTTCCGGGTATCTGGATTTAATATGAAATTATCTGCACTAATTGAAGCTTCGTGGCTTGACATATCTGTATATTTTAACTTGCCTTTTTTTTTTTTTTTCCTCTCGGTGTTTATACTGATTTTTGTTTTTTAAAATTCATCGTTGGCCTAATATTTATGTCAGAAAGTCTTATATAATTTATGTAATACTTGAATATAGAAAAAGAATTTTAAAAATTTTTTTTATTTCCAGTCTGTGCTTTTTGACTTGCTCTTCAGCTGTTTTAGAGGGCGCAGCAAGAGCTGCAAAACAAATTTGACACGTGGCAATTTGCAGACATTTTCCTGTTAGGCTTAAAAGTCTTCCTAGCCTTGTTTTGTCCTTTTCCCATTAATTTTATTTTTTTTTTTTTAAATTATTTTATGCTAAGCACGGTTAACCTCAATGAACGTAGTAAAAATCATCAGGGTAGGTAAGATATTGTCTTGTATAATATGCCAGACTTCAGTAAGCGTGTGCTAGATAGAAAAACGAAAATAAAATTAAAATATAAATTCTTCATGTGTCAATAAACTGGCAAATTTTAACCAGTATCTAGTAGAGAACTGGGAGGACCAAAGTCTTGATTTCCCTGCCCCTCCACTGCAGACCAACATCTGTTGCTGCAGGGTCCTTAAAATTCTTCAGTTGTGGAAAATTTATAATTCAACTGGACTGGAACAATTATTGGAATCAACGCTCTGTGAGCAAACTGGGGGAGGGACGAGAAGAACGAGGACCTAAAGACTGAATTTCTATCTCTGCATTTTAAAAAGAAAAGAAAAAAAGCTGATGTTTTAACAGTGTGTTTAAGTGCTCTGCCTTTCCTGTGCCTCTAAACTGGATGGTCAATCCTGCAAATATGGGCTGAAATTCAAGGAGGTCTCAGTGACTGCACATCTGGTGTCAAGTGCTGTGTGGTCTCCCCTGATATTTCAAGTTATACTTTTTAAAAAAAAAAAAAAAAAAAAAAAAAAGATGACTTGTAGATCTCAAGCTTTCCCCAAAGTTTCAAAGTAAAGCCATTCTACTCTGCTGTTATTTTGTGTAGCTGTTTTGTTTTTCCCATGGAGAAAAAGAGGGCAATGGGGGTGTAACTTCACTGTTGTGGAGCAGAAGGAACACGCTTTGAGAAGTAATAAACCACCACCACCATCATCATCATCATCATCATCATCATCACTGAATTTGTTGGTGAAAGTCGTGGCGCTGGTTTAAATAATCCGAGACTACACAGAATATCTGGGACATTACAGTGTGGATAGGGAACTGCACACTTGGATTAAATACATACAAACAACATGAAAGAACAGAGAAATCCTGCTGGTGACATTCCACCTCTTGATTTCAGCGGTAGCCATGTCTCTGAAAACACTTTAATGTTGTTATTTATGTTTGCAATGCCTGTAAAACGAGCTTTAAAAGTTTGTACACACCAACTGTATATTTTGGGTTTGGCGTAAGCTACTGCCATGTGACTTCTCCTGGACAATTATTTGTATAATATATTCCTGCTGGGAAGGAAGGCAACTTCCTCAACATGTAAATAACACGGGTTTTTTTTACCTGCTGGATGGAGCTGTCGCCTCCTCTGCGCTGGTCACTCCTTTCCCTGGCCACGAGTGACCACGAGCCTTGCCCTGCCCATGCCTTGAGGAAGTCCATTAGCTGACAGTCCTGCTCTTAGGATGAACAGTGACCTAGGAAAAAGAAAGCAGCTTTTTCTGTGATGGGCATGTTCTGCAGCCAGGGTTAATAACATTTTCAGGGCTCAGCGCACCTTTTGGTGCTGAGTGACTTTGGAAATGACGCTGGGTGTTTGTGGATATTTAAGAAACGGAGAGATTCTGTGAACAGCTCACTGTAGAATGCAGATCTGTACAAATTTAAAGGTCATTAAAATTTTCACTCAGTCTTAATGCTTGGCAGTGTGCTGTCTGTTGCTGGGGTTTTTGGGCTGCCAAAAAAAAAAAAAAAAAAGAAAAAAAAAAGCACCGTGTGAAGGCGAATTGTTAAAAACATTAACCAAAATTACCTGTGCATCAGCTCACTGAGGAAGGTTTTAAGAAATGATGGGCTGTGTCCTTAACTCCTGAATCCCACAAGCATCCCTTCTGTTTTGGAAGGGAAGCCCCAACCAAGTGGCAGTAACAGAGAACCTGAGGAATTTTGGAGCGTGGAGCCCTTCTCCTGTTGGAAATGAGCAGCTGTACCCTCATACTTCAAAGGTAAAATAACATTCCTTGTTTAAAATAACTTCTGCTGGTCACATCAACATAGTGATAGGATTCATTTTTTAATGCATGTTTTAGGTGCTCTTACCCCAAGTAAATATAGTTGTAGAAATTATTGTTGCTTGGAAACCAGTAAATAGCTGGGGGTTTGTTTCCATGCCAAAGGTGTTCTCCTGGTTCCTGGAGATGTGCCTAAGGAATGCTCTGCTCTGGCTCCAAATCTGCTGAGGCTCAGTGCTCTGAACTGTGCAGACCAGACAGAAGATTCTTCTCAGGTTAAGTGCTGTTTGTAGATGCTTCTGTTTATATATTGCCTTGAGAATTTCAGGTTGGGGTTGTCACTTCTTGTTTAGGGTAACAGCCCAAAAATGGTGAGCAATTAATATGATCAGTGCCATGGGTTTGATGTCCTGTGTGACAGAGCCAGTGAACAGAAACTGGATTAACCCCACTTAACGATACTACGAGCAACCTGTCTTTTAAGCCCAGAGAAGTACAAAAGGAGGACTGTAAAAATTAAGTATGACCACAGCCTAGTTCCAAGAGTGGAAAAGATGGGAACAAGGTGTTTTTTGGCAAGGATGAGATGAACAGGCAAATCCTACATAAGCCTGTGTTTGAGTTTCGTTGCCTCTCCCATAAACTTTTTCTCGCTTGTGGTTGGTTGCCTTAATCTCAGCTGTTCCTCCTCTCAGCTATAATTATGGTTTTCTTGGAATGATTAATGCTGGAATGCATCCTAATATTTAGGGATGATAAGATGGGTAACTCCTATGTATGATCTGATTCTTTCCAGTGTGTCTTTCAAGCAAACTAAAATACCTGGGGGGGGGGGGGTGAAGTGCCAATGAAAAGCTGAGCCCCTGACAAAGCAAAACTTCACTGAAACAACGTGAAAAATACTTAGAAATATTTGGGGTGGGAGGTAGTAGAGGTAGGAAACTAGTGACTCTTACCTTGGTGCAATGGCACTTTTGGAAAGCCCAGAGCAGTGCCAGTGAAAATTTCTTTTCTGGAAATAATTTTACTCCCCGTAAATTCCTTTTAGATCGTAGTTGTAAAATACAGCAAATCCTTACTAGGCAACCAAATGCTTTTTATTAAGAAATTTACCTGGGTTTTTATGTACTGTGATCACTGTCGCTGCATGTTTGTTTACATCACAAGCAAAAGCAGTTAACTTGCAAAAAATACAGATTTGATTTCATTTTAAAAAACGAGAGAGAGAAAAAAATCTTGCTGTGAAGTTAATAAAAACAAACTCAAAAGGACTTTGCTGACAAAACGTTTCTAGGTTGCAAAATTCGGGAAGTTACAACCTAGGCTTGCAAATACTGTTTGGAATTCCACGTCAAAAGCAAAGTACAACAAATGCAGTGAGGAATTATGTCCCTCCTTAGCTGGGACCAAAACCACGTTGTGCACGCTCTGTGTTAATAATAATGCCTGTTAAACATCCCTTCAAGGCACGTGGTCACAGTTCTGGAATGGAACCTGCTGCCCTGGATTTGAGTGGCCCCCTGTCTCCCACAGGCAAACTGGTGAGCAGAGAGCACTTATGGCCCTGTGAAGGCAGTGCCAGGAATCTGTTCTTGTCTGGAACAAAGTATGTTCTGGAATGCCCGTGCTGAAAACACCAAGTAAGAAGGGCTGATGTGCAGGGGTGAGAACCACCAGGAATACTGGACTGAGGTGACAGCCTTCCATGCTGGAAGCTGTGCAGGCTGCAAAATCTGATCCAGCCTCCTCCTCCTTGCTAGCACGGCTCGTTTTCATCCATCTCTGTGGGGCTTTTGTCTTGGCAAAGGAAAATGGAAGAAGAAATGCCACTCTCGGGTACCGGCTGCAGGGATGGCAGGGATCTCTCCTGTAAGATTGGCGCTTCGGCCAAGTGCAGGTGAGTCTCAAAATAATCCACGGACTCCCCTTCCTGGGTCTCTGCCAAGATCTGGTAGTCCCCAAAACAGATGACGCACCTCCAGGGCAGGTCGACTTTGTTCAGGTAACCCAGTTCCGTCTGGTTCACGGTCAGTTTTGCCCTCTTGCTCAAGTTCTTGATCTCGAAGCAGCATTCCGAGCTGTGGAGCTTCCTGTAGAACTGCAGGGAGAACTGGATGCGGGAGACACGAGCGTCCATCAGGCTGTAACGGCAGACGCTGGAATCGCGGCCGAACTTGGCCGTTTCGTCCGCCCTGACCTGCTCTCGCCTGCAGAAGTTCAGGCAGCGGAACATCATCTTCTCCCCTTGGCAAGGGTGGTAAAAGGTCATGTGGAGGCACGGCACCGTTTCTTCCGTCTCGGCGTCTTCAAAGGAGCTCATGATGCAAAGAGTTCCTCGGAGAACAAGGGAGAGGTAAAAAAATCACCAGCATGAAATCACCGCGGAGCCAAACAAATCGTGGCATTAAAACACTTTGTGTGCTATTGTGTAGCAACTGGATAGAATTTATAGCAAATTGGCTGACAGTAAATGTGATGAAAGCACTGGAGCAAAGAAATGAGAGTTCAGAGCTCTGAGAAGCAGTGACTGACCGCTGCTGCCAACAAGCTCTTCGTGAGGATCTCACAGGTAGATTTATCTTTGCAAGAAATATGTCATTTAGGAGTAAGATTTACTTTATGGGCTTAAAATGGAGCAGTAAAATGGAGCAGGTAGTGTCTGTGCCTCTGTGCTCTGCTCTCGTTGCAGTCCTGTGACTAGAAGGTATCAAATTACTTTTACAACCAGTCTGTCTGTAGGCAGACATAATTCAAATATGTACAAAGCAACACCTTTGGCTCTTGGGTCAGAATTTACCTCTTGCATGAAACAAAACAGTGTTTGGAAGTGACTGCTCTGACAGTGTGTAAAGTGAACGCAACAGCTGGAGTATTCTCTAGACCTAAATGAGGAATTGTCACCAGCTCAAGGCATTTCCCCGTTGCCTGTTGGCAAATCCCAGCTATCCGATGCAGAACTAAAAATAAGTAACTTTTCCTGGCTTTGGTTGGTTTTGTGTGTGTTCTTTTAAGCATCTCACATGCAGCACAGAGATGACTGATTATGAATTAAATTCTGTTTCAAAGTCTCAGCGACTGCAGTGCATCCTAACAAAATGTGAGGCACCTAAGGGAAACACTGTGATCTGTTCCCCCACAAATGCAAGGCCAGTGCCTTCCTGCACTGAAACAGAGTCTAAAGAAAGAAAAGTCTTGGCACTTTGAGTAGGAACAAGAGAATGAGTTCCCAGTTACTCACCAGCAAAACATGTGAGCAGCCATTTAACTGGTTTCATACAGTGCAGATGTTTGTCACGTTTCTCCTGCTGGATTGCAAGGAGTTCCCAGTGTGTCTTAACGCAGATCTTGAGCTCTCTCAGTGCTCACAATTTAATCTGGGGGTTTTTATGAGTAGGTGATTCACCGCTGCAATTAAATGATGATTTGTGTTTTGTGATGATGGAGTTGACCTGTGTTTTTGGAGGCTTATTTACGCCACTGTACATAAACACCAAGCACAGTGAATGGCGGTGTGTCAGTGCATCGTTTTCTGTGTGAAAGCTCAAAACCACTTCCTTCTCCCACCTTTAATACAAAACCAGCAGCAGTTCTGACACTCAGTGTAGCTGAGCTTCCTTACTGAAGTAGACTACAGCAGTGCAGATGATGAGAGGAACAGAAAATTTCAAGCAGAGCTCACGTTAAAACGAACTAGGAAATGTCATCTGTGCTTTTGGCAGGAATACAGAGAGAGACACCCTGATGGCAGGTTATTCCTTTGCCATCTGTGAGACAAGCTGTGGTGCCACCAGCATCCATCCTTCCTCCTGGTAGATTCCTCAGCTCCGGTATGCTGGAAGCAGCTCTGTGAGCAGCAGGGACTGTGTCTGTGTCTAGTTCTGCCCTTTCCTGTTTTGCACCAATAAGGGGGTATTATATGAGGTCATTTCTGGTGAAAGGGGAAAACCGCCAAGTCCTTCTCAGTTCTTAGATCAGCCCACAGAGACAGTTTTCTGCCTCCAGACTTGGGCTGAATTTGATACCAACCTAAAAGCACGTTCTGCTTCAGCTATCATCTTTGTTACTTGGTTTCTGAAAAGCACCAGGGGTAGGCAAAACACAGGAATAGAAAGATACATTTTGAGAACTCTGGTGTGTACACAGATCAGCGCATAACACTGGCTTTACTCACGTGTTAATGATGAATTTTACAAATGGCTACATTTATTACGCAAGACCAGCCACCAGTTGCTCCAGCAGCACCCACAGACCCTGTTATCTACCTACCTATCTATCTATCTATCTATCTATCTATCTATCTATCTATCTATCTATCTATCTATCTATCTATCTATCTAATCTCGTGTACCACCTCAGGCATCTCCACCCCAGCTGGCCCCCGTCCCGCCCTAAAAGTTTATCGAGGTTGAACATACTTAACATACTACCACGTCATTGCTGAAGGAGGTTTTACTTACTGGAGCGCTTTGGACAGAAGTAAACTTTCTCCAGTTGAATCCGGGGGCTTCTCCCGCAGCTCCTCTCCCCGCTGTTCTCCCTCCGCACCTTCGTTCCAGACAAACGAACCGTGATCTCATCTCATCCCATCCTGTCCCGCGGTGAAGCGTCACCATCCCCGTTTCCAGAGGCAGGAGAACGCCGCGGAGCACTAAAGCGCACGGACCCCCGGAGCAGGGGGCTCGGTGCCGCCTCGCCAGCCCGCCATCCTCCCGACCGAACCCGCCGCCTCCATCGCCACCGCCCCAACACACCTCCGGTTCTACCCGCTGATCCATCCCGCCTCCTTCCTTCCTTCCTCCCTTCCTCCCTTCCCCTCACCTCCTCTCCTGCCGAGGGGTTCCAGCGGCTCCTCACGCCCGGTAATCCCCCCGCGGAGCCGGCGGGAAGCGCTGAGGCGGGAGGCGCTGAGGCGGGAAGGGCTGAGGGGGGCGGCGCTGAGGGCACGGCGGGGCCGGAAGTTGAACTTAATTTTCAGGGGGGAAAAAAACCAACCAAACAACTCTTGCCCTCCACACACACACCCCCCCAAAAAAAAAAAAAACAACGGTAAAAAGGTAAATTATTTATTGTGGTGAATAAATCGAAAGAAATTTCAGATTTTCAGCTGTGGGCATCCGAACGTGTCGCGCCCACAGTCACGTCGGGGATCAGACCCAGAGTCCGCGGGCTCAGGCGTCGGGCAAAATAATTTTCGCCCCCAAGGGAACACTTCGAAGAAAAAAATACACTGAGTAAGCGTCACATCACAAGCGTAACTTGTTGACCCGATGGTGCCCTTCAGTGAGTATTTAAAAATATTTGGTTGTTTGCTTTAAGCAAACCGCAGTCCAGCTTTTATTGCACTGCCTTTGGAAAATAACCTAATCTTTCCCTGGCCGCTGATCTAAGATGAGCTGAAAACTTCACTTTTTGTTTTGGTTTGGTTTGGTTTGGTTCTACTCTTTAAAAATCCTGAGGCAGCTGTGCCGTCTGGTAGGGGGGGAAAAAAAATGAGCAGTTCTTCCTCATGCAGCTGCTTAGTTTTTCTTAATAACCAAGATTACTGCCCAGCACAGACCAAGAGGCAGAGCGGAGGAAAAACCTGTTCCTTTTCAATCCAGATCCCAAATATTCAGTGTCCTTCCTTCCCTCTGTGCAGTGTTGGGACTGGCGAGGCTGTGCCTCGATAAACACTGAAGGTTTGCTTGCTTTGGCAGGGGCGGTGAAACACTGTGTCGGTCCATATAAACTATTTTTCACTTGTGGGTTCTTTTTATGTGTCCAGCAAACAGGTAAATGACTCGTGGGTCGATAAGCTCCTTTGTAGTTCCCGCGGAATAACTTTTATCTGTGTGCAGGCTGATACGTCCTGTTCCATGTGCTCTTCTCCCCTGACATCAGAAAGAAAAAGGGATTAAACTGCGTTTTGCAGGAAGTCATGTTGAAAAGCAGAGAAGGGAAACATTATTCCGAGTTTCTCCCGTAGCAGAATGCCTTTTCTGCACCAGGCAAGGCTTGGCCTGTGTGCTCACACATAAAAACAAAAAGGCACTTTGCTGTCTTCCCAGAAAAGCCAGAATTGTGCAATCCTGCTATTTATTGCATCTGCTGATAGTTATAATTCCTGTCAGCCCTTTGCTTCCGGAAACAGTCTGATTCCCAGGCTGCGAGAGAGTTTTTCTGATAGGATTGTTTTGATACTTTTACCTATTGAAGTATGTAAGTACCTTTCCTTTTTTTTTTTTTTTCCCTGGGGTTGTGTAACATCATACTAATTACATATTCCTTATTATTTTAAGTATAGCTCTGTGTGATTTTGTACAGGGGAGGGCAGGAACTGGATTTACCACTCCTGTCTTCCATAAGTTTCTAACCAGTTAATATGCCGCCAGCTTCGGGAAAACAACTCCAGGTTTGCCCCTTGTGAGAAAAAAACAAATGCAGGCACTCTCTGCCTGCTTCTGGGGGTTTTGGGTGACCTTCCTGCTAAAATGTTTCTGTGCTTTACTAGAGTTCGTTTCTGTATTACAATAACTTCCTTTGTTAGTTGAAATTTCTTCGGTCAAAAGCGAAACTGCAAATAAACACGTCATTTGGGCTAATTAAGTATTTGTGATACATGGGCTGAATGACTGAGGTGGTTTTGAACTGGCTGTGACGGTACCTTATTTATTTTTCTAGCAACTGATTGCCGTAACTCCAGAGCCTGAATAGGCAAAATCCGGAAAACAAAAAAAAAATACTAAGTATTCTTGCATTTCTTTCAGTCGTGATTGACTTAGAAAGTCGGAGTCGGTGAGGGGAGATATGTTTCTTCCGCTTTCTGGGAAGTTCGTGGTGGGTGAGAAGAGTTATAAGAAAGTATATTCTCCTAATGGTTTGCCTGCCTGGTTGTGATTTGGGAACGCCGTGGTGATATTTAAGGCAGAAATGGTGCTTTTCTGCAGGGCTGGCTCTTGCCACAAGGGGACACGAGCCACGTTTCCGTGTCGTGCATGTGGCAGATGTGACGTGGTGAGCTCAGCAGAAAGCTTGAGAAGGGTGCAAGAGATGAGTAGTTGTTCCCCCTCCAGGCTGGTTTTTATTTGCTTGCGCCCGGGCGATGCCGGGGTACGATACTGTTCACTGCCTCACCTGTAACAGCGTGTGTTGGCTTCCAGTACCAACCTGTACCCTCCTGCTGCTCTTCCTCCCTGCTTCTCAGCCCTTTTATTATTCCAAGCCACCTTAGCACCGAGGGCACAGGGAGTGGGAGCCGGTAGGTGGCAATGTGTGACCGCACATGGGAAACCATCATTCCTCTGGGGGTTTTTGGTGTTTTCTGAGTATTTGGTGTTGGTTCGTGGGGGTTTTTCTTTCTTTTTTTTTTTCCTTATTTTTTTCGTTTTAAGTCAGAAATTTCGTTTTGATATTGCAAGAGCTGTTGAGGTGCCTGTAAGATAATGGTAACAGTGGTAACTTCCAAGAGTTAGTTTGGGAAAGGCATAATGGAGTACATAATTAGGTTCTGCAATGAGTTATTGTTACTGTACAGCAAACAAGTACCTCGTGTTCAAACACAAAAAAAAAAGGCCCTTCTCAAAGATAGGTGTGTTCCAAAGGTATCCCAGTGTATTCCACTGGATCTCAGCGTGAGAGGGAAGAGAGATGCATGAGGAGGAGTGTTCACTGCACTCTTAGATCCCAGTGCCAAGAACAGCTCCACTCCATGAAGCAGAGAGATCTTCCAAAGGAGAAAGAGAGAGAGAGCACCTTTCCCTCTATTTATTTCTTTGCTCCTTGTTTACTTAGGAAAAAGAAGTCTTCCATTTCCCATGTCACCTGACCTGAATAAACTGCTGAGGAAGCTCACTTTGAATACCAAAGGGAACTATTCCTTACAAGGTGGACTTTGTCATGCCCCTCTCCGAGGTCTTTTTTTCTTTCTACATTACAATCTGCCCTTGGTCCTCCTTTGGAGCCCCTCTGCCTTCTTCCCTTCTCTTCCTTCTTACCTGTCTGCTATCTCAGTTTCTCCTCCATCTTCCTGCCCCTCTTGCTGTTCTTCCCTCTTACCCTCCTCCTGATTGTTCTTCCTGTTTCTCCTTGCAACCTTTGTTTATTTTTTTTTTCTCTGGACCCTTTCTCCCTCTGTCTGGATTCTCTCTCCCTTTTGTCCACCCCACTGCCCTTATTCCCATATGGACACTGTGGAAAGAGGTGGAGGTGTTGTGATCTTGGAGTCCCTTCATGTTGACAGCTGTGTCTTTGCAGGAAGGTTCACACAGCTTGGTGGGAGAGAAGCTCCAGTAATTCCATGATGTGGAAAAGGAAAAGTAAGGGAGGTTCAATGCCATAGACCAGCTGCTTGTTTCTTGCTCAAAATCAAATCATCTTTAAGGGCTGACACAGCATAAAAATTGTCAGCTCTTCCCTATTGTCCTTTCTGGAAGCTGGAACAAAGCTTGGAGTCTTAAATGTGTTGGAGCATCACGTCTCCCAGAGAAGTTTGTCTTCATGAAGAAAATTAAGAGCTGAAAAGGAAAAAAAGTAATTTGTGCAACTATTTTGAAAGCCAGGAGGTTAAACGTTGCCTTCACCAGGCCCCAGATTTTACCATGGAGACTGAATCTGCCCTCTCTGTCTGGTTTGACACCAGTTAGATGGAGATGATTTCTGGGCTGAACAGAACCATCATTTCCAGCTCTCTTGATTAAACCAAGTTATTTTAAAGAGTTAAAGATGAACTGTATATAAACTGTATTTTGCTGTTATGTAGCAGAGCTGGAGAATATAGTGGGCTTTTTGTTGTTTTGGGTTTTTTAGGCCTTTGCATTTGTGTAGATGTGAAGGTGCTAAAGATTCCACGTTGTGTGGCACTAAAACCTCTGCTCCATTTACCTCAGTTTATAGCATTTAGGGGCGTGGAGTCGGCCTGGGAGGTGCATACATGGCCCTTTTTCTCTTTTTTTCATTAAAGATCTGTATGATTCTGTCCAAAACAGCTCGAGTAGCTTCCTTCCTGCTCCGGGAAGCAGGTGCCTGGTTCATCTTTACCTTTGATTGCTCTGGAAACCCTC